TTCTAAGGATCCAAAGATCCCTGTAGAATTTAATATTGAGTTGAACATTTTGTTCATGACAACAAATTAACATGCGTTTTTTCAGATTATATTTAGTTTTGCTTGGAAAAAGCTGGCCCAAACCAGTTTTATTTAATCAATTATTGAAATAATGAAATATTTAGTAATAAACTTTTGTGACAGAAATATCACTAGGCTACATGTAACTTAAATCATTTAATTCCTTCATTATCAACACTGTCTAGAATAGCGATTTAAGTGTAAATTGCGACTTCTCTTTGTGTTAAGTCAGCCTCAGACTCCGATAGCCTGTGGGGGGTTGGAGGGACAGTTGCTGGACAAAGGTGTTAATGTTCCTCTTTCATATGGAGAGTGTCGGATAGCCAGCCTGATGAGCAGGCAAAATTATTGTAAGGATAAATCTGTGTCCAAATGTAGACCCCATATCTTATTAAATTATAAATATTGTAGTTTATTTATTGTAGCCTATTTAAAGTTTTTTTCACACAAAATTTCAATTGAAGTTATTGTAAGGTGAATTCAACAAGGCATGCTGTGTCTTTGAAGCAACAATTAAAGGTTAAATAATTTTTTCGTGATTTCTATGGCTGACACGCAGCGACATATACAGTATTATCAGCTGTATGATGTGTTTTTACCCTGAAATGTTTAATTTCGAGAGAGAGACCCGCGCGCGCAGCGAGGGAGACTAAATAAACTTGTTAAAAAGAGATCCAGCGCGAGAGAGGCAAAGAGAAACGCATGTTTTTAATTTAATTATGTTTCTTTGGACAATTTTCGTTTTGTACTGTTTTAATTGTTTAATTTAGCTGTAATTTCTTTGGCAATACAAATTTAAAATGTCGCAAGAATAAGATTAGCCTAGTGTTTCTTATTTTGCATCGCAAAAGAAATAAACTCTAAACCCGATGCAACCCTGTTTTAAATTAAAAAATTTAAACCTTGAAATGTTCGAACTTGGTTTCAAACTTAAGTAATTTTAGTGTTCTTTTACATTACACAATAATTTAGCAGACTAAAGACGAGCTTCTTCATTTTCATTTTCTGATGCAATCGGCTGACAATCTTCCTTCATCAGTTTTTGTCGTTTGTGCAGCGGCTGCGGTTCTACAGGAATGTAGCAAATTTATGTTGTAATGATAATCAAACAAAACTCTTGACTTTAAATAAGTAAACAGATATAAACAGTTACCTATTTAAGCATCAAGGTGGGAAAATATAAACGCTGTAGGACAACATCGGTTAACAACATGTAGGCCTAGGCTACATTGAGATTCGATCTTGGGTGGTTTGAAGGTCCTCGTAGCTCGTGTTGTTGCGTTGATCACTGAGCTACCGTCTGTACGCTGATAACGTTGTAAAGCCTCATTGATGTAGCCTAAATGTTTTTATTGCAATGTTTTATGTTGAAATGTTTTCATTATTTATTCAATTACATTTCAGTAGCCTAATTTCAGTATTGTGATTATGAATTATTTTAACTACGTTTCACTTGTTGAATTCTTCTGCTACCAGCTTTCAATCGCTCTGAATCAGCGCGGTGCGGCAGCAGATTACGCATTAGAGAGAATAAACCGGAATAAACGAACACTTTTCAGAGTCTATGATTGTAGCGCCTCTTAGCGGTAAAAGGCAGCAAATACACCACACATTTTACCGCCGCGGTGGAACGGCTGATGTGGGCATTGTCATGGCTTGCCTCGACATTTGCGTTTGAATAGCGCGCGTCTTCCGTGGGCGTGTCAGATTAACGCGTAATGAAGTGTAATGAGCTGGGGGAAAAAATACTGACAGCACTCTCTTTTCATACAGATTGCATAAACTGAGAATATTTGTTTTTTATATAAATTACTTCATTTAAAAGAAGAGGATTCAAGCTTCATAAAGAAAAATCTCTCGTGCCTGTGTGACAAGTAATCGCGGAGTTACAGTTAATCTTAGGACGCGTTTCAGAATGAACTTCACTGACAGAGAGAACGCAGAACTCGCATCATGTTTGTTTTTCTTTATTTGGTGAAAAGCACAACACTTTGTTTTTATTGTGAGTATCCACAAAAAAAATAGAAACTTAACAGGATCTAATGATGTATCGCACTTATATGTAAGATCAAAATCAACCGAGTATTTTGAGTCTCTTTTGCACTGATAAGAAAAAAAGCGAGACAATCGCGCCGGCGCGATAGCCGACCCCAGGGGGTTAAAGCACTATTGGTATCGGACAATTTTCATATGGGTGCATCCCTAATTAAAACCATAATGGGTCCCTCATGGGGGCAGACATGTTGGTCACATGACCAATTAAATACTACCAACGTCCCTTTAAGGCAAGCCATTTCTCTCGGCGGCCATCTTTGAAACTCCTCTCGGGCAGCTATTTCAGTCATGGAAGTGCAGCTCCCATCTCTTTGAATGGGGAAACATCAAATTCTCCTAAGCTGTTCACCAAGCTTACTATTAAATTTCAAATAATCTTCATTTGAAATCACCAATGAAATCTGACAACAACCGTCTCATAAATTGTTTCTAAACTCTCAAATCATGACAACAGACTGCATTTTCCAGGCTGGTCCAGAAAATGTAGCAACAGGAGTTTCTTCTAATGGCAGCTGCAGTGATGCGATGACTTAACTAGCTGGCGATTGGCTCTTTTACTCAGAAGGCGGGACTTATTCCGCATTGCACTTTCTCCCATTCATAGTAATATGTTCTTTATTCATAGTTTCTTCAGATAAAAGCATCTGCCGAATGCATAAATGTAAATGTCCTCAGTGTATAGTCGAGAAACTGAATTTATTTTAAAATGTATTTCGTTTTTTGTTTTGGGATATGAAATATACGCTCAAATTGACCATAACGAAATTGTACACATTTCCACAACATATGGGTGTGTCGAGACTTTGCACATTTGTTCATGACCCTAAATGAAAAAGTCACAAATTTCAAGAAAAAAACATCATAGGTTAACAAGTAGTTCTGGCAAATCAAAAATCTAAATGGGTCAAGTTGACCCACAATATGATCTGTTGCAAATAAATGTCACAAAAGTGTTAAACAAAAAGCTCATCATTATACAGTTGTCATGTTTTTCTTTCTGCATAGACACGAAAAATGCATAAATATCATTTTTGTCATTAAACTTAGTGCTGAAAACTCTGACTTGGTGTGAACAGCACTTCATATTGTGCACTGGATGACTTCTGATAAGTTCACCTTTGTGGACAATAACGCATTCACACTTTATGCCAATGATAATAAGTTTCAAGTGTTGGCTACACTAGTACAGAAGCTAAACTATTGTACATTGAATGGTGATCTCATTTGTAAACAATTCATCCAACTTTATGTACCACCAGTGACCAGCAGGGGGCGGCCCACATAAATCTGTATACGTGTAGCGCCACACTGTTTTACAGTCCTGCTGATAGTGTTTATTTTACTCCCTCTGGTTTCCATCAGCTTTTTCATTCATCATGTCCATTAAGCTAAAGCACTCTTGATGCATCCCATTCTGTTCCCGATCATATGCAATCGATCAGCAGACATAGGAGAACAGACTGTTAAGTGTAATAGTCATTGATGCAGGTATTTGTGTGATTCCAAGCTTCCCCTCAAATGGTAATATGTCCTCCCTCTGAAGAGGAAATAGAGAAGAGTGAATTATACTCTGCTGTCTTGTTCTCTGTGGCTGAAACAAATCAGACTTAGGATGGCAAACACATGCCTGTGTGTGGATTTAATGTGCTCTTCCTGTTTGTCATCAGAAACAAAGCTGAGATCGCCCTCTGCTGTCCATACCACAGTGTGACATGCATGTCTCTCTATATTTGAATCATTCATCATTTCTTCCCCATTTTTTAATGGAGCTATGCAGTTATACTACAGTTAAAAAGTTTGTTATTTTAAGATTAAGTATGTTTTTTTAAAATGTTTTTGAGGGAAGTCTCTTATGTTCATCAAGACTGCATTTATTTCATTATACAGTAAAAACAGTAACTATTGTGAAATATTATTACAATTTAAAATAACTGTTTTCTATTTGAATCTATTTTTATTCCTGTGATATCAAAGCTGAATTTTTAGCGTCATTACTCCAGTCTTCAGTGTCACATAATCCTTCAGAAATCAGTCTAATATGATGATTAGATTCTCAAGAAACATTTATTATTGTTATTATCCAAGTTGAAAACGGTGGTACTGCTTTAGCTGGAATGAATATAGTTTAAAAGAACAGTATTTATTTGAAATATAAACTGATGTTCAAAAGTTAATGTGTGCCTAAGTATTAATTTCATCTTCAAAAAACTGATTTATTTTTATGTTTTATATTTTTTATATTATTTATATATTATATCTTTTTAAATATTTTAATGCATTGATGATCTTGTTCATTCGTGTATTATCACTGCTGTAATTTAATGTTCATTTTAAGCATCAAGATTTTTTGATCATTTATATCTAATTAGAAATCTCATGAAAAGGGGCTTTCACAAATCCTATTTCTGTTCTGGACATTGAGAAGTTTCTCTGTATGTTTCCTCTGCTTATCTGTAGACACAGCATTGATCTCGCTGGTGCTAATCTACAGCGAGTATTTCACTTGTTTTGTATACAGAAGACCGCTTCCTCTAATGTCTTGAGGGTCCCATCTGAGTTTTGACAGTGCTTGTCTGCTATCTGCAGTGTCTAACACTACTAACTGGCAGTTTTACTCCAATTCACACTCCCACCGCGATCATGGCTCGCACTTTCAGTGAGGCGACTTCACAGCAATTCACAACTTGGGTTCTGTTGAAAGACTAAACAACAAAGATGTGGGAAAGGATGTCCTGTGAAATCTATGAATTATCACCATTGAGCTCAACCCAATTTGATCTGATGGACCTGTCCCGGTATTGAGTCACATTGAATATAAAAACAGTTGATGCGAGGCTTGTTCAAACTAACAGTAGTTTGTATGTTGTGTGTGTTTGTGCGAACAGGCCTGAAGAAGACAGTGAGGAGGAGTCCGTGGCTCATGGAGGCAGACAGAATCATGATAACCTGTACCGAGTGCACATGCCAAGCCTCTACAGCTGCGGCAGCAGTTACGGCAGCGAGACCAGCATCCCTGCAGGAGCACACACTGTCAGCAACGCTCCCGTCACTGAGTACATGTGAGTTACACACAACATCCACAACCCATGCAGTCTTTGAACACATTCAGGTCACCTTTACCCTCCTGGGAACGATCCATGGGGTGTTTGTAGAAATAGCTCAATAATCACTTTGTCCGATGTTTCTTACTGATATCCCCACATTACTACTCGATCGCTTTTTGATTCTTCCATGTGCCACCGTTCATTTATATGTGAGAAAAAAAGTAATTTAAGCAAAACAATTAGTCAGAACCCAAAGAAATATATGAAAATGAATTTGCGACTATTTAGATCATTAAACAACATGATGATGCTTAATAATAATAATAGTGATGATGGTATTATTTATTTATTTATGTTTGTTATGGTAATATAGTAGTAGCACAATAATAATTATTATATTGTATGATAAAAGTAATGTTATTGTTATCATAATTCTACCACTTTATTATTAATATCATTATTGTTATTGTTTTAGAAATATATTATATATATAATATTATTATTATAGCCATATATTTGTAATGTAATAATATTTATATAGTATTATAATAATAGTTATTATTATTAATATTATTAATGGTGGTAGTAGTAGTTATTATAAATCATGAATTTGTTTACATGTTATGTTTGTTATATTTATGAAAATGTTATTAAACTTTTACATTATTATTATTATTATTATTATATTATTTTAATATAATAAAAATACTAGCAATTATTATAATTAAATTTAAAAAAAACATATCGTTGTATTGTAGTAATAATAATAATAGTTATATAGTAACAAATTCATGATTTATAATAACAATTATTATTTTATTTATAAAAATAATGTTAAGACGGTCGTAATGCATATTATGTTTCTATTGTTATAATAATTATTAATTTTCTGTCAAAGATATATGGATTGGATATAAAACCACAATTTAGTTCTACATATTAGTTATCAGACACTGAAACAAACGTAATCAGTATTCATCCATCCTAAAAAAAATAGTTGGTGGATTTCATCCCATTCAAGCGGATGGCTGCCCTGCCTGTCTCTCTCACACCATATGTGCTGCACACGAGCAGGACTGAACGTTGTTAGGGATCTGGTGGATGTTTTCAGCAGCTGGGCCCTGCCATTGACTGCTCCATATGTGTGGTGTCTTGAACAGGGGATGAGAAATCCTCTGAGAGAAGCTCAAACCTGCTGGGGTGAAACAGCTGCTCCTCTCCTGATGGGGGAGCGGGGGGATGCAGGGGGTAGGAGAGGGATATGGGGTACCTGACAATGTTACGGGTGAAAAACCCCCAGCAAAAACTACCTAAAAACACACAAGACAAGCAGTGCTGTTCAGGAAGAGAGAGAATGCAATGGAATATATAAAACTCCTTTTGTTTTATATAAACAGTGAAGTAGCGCAATAATATGACACATTTCTATTAAAAGTAACAAAAGTGAGGTCAGTAATTTCTTTTTTTTTTTTTTTTCCTAGGATGCATTAAAGATGACAGTAAATACATTTATAATGTTACAAAAGGTTTCTGTTTCAAATAAATGCTCTTTTAATTAATCAAAGAATCTTAAAATATATTAGGCATAAATATCACACACCGTTTTCAAAATTGATAATTAGAAAGCACAAAATCATTTTAAAATATATTGAAATAGAATTTTTTTTACTTTTAATAATATTTCACAATATGACTGTTACTGTATTTTTGATCAAATAAATGTAGCCTTGGTGAGCAAAAGAGACTTCTTTAAAAATAAAAAATGAAAAATCTTACCGACCCCAAACTTTTGCACCGTAGTGTAATAAATTACAAAAGTACAATAAATTAAAAAAAAGATCTGTAACATTAATGCAGGAGTGTTTTGGATCTTTGTAAAGTGTGTGTGTGTGTCTCATTTCCAGGACCCAGAATGCAAACTTCCAGAACCCTCGCTGTGAGAACACTCCTCTGATCGGGAGAGAATCTCCTCCTCCATCTGTAAGTATCTGCACTCGTCCAACACGCACACAAATCACACACGAGTCATTTTGACAGCCTGAATGTTTAAATATTCACCATAAATGGCACATTCGGTTACACTTTATTTTAAGGTGACGTAGTTATGTTGTACTTACTCAAATAAGTAATAAGTAATATCAATTAACTACATGTACTTACTACACAGTTGGGGTTAGGGTTTGGTTTAGGGTTAGTTACTTGTAATTATGCATCATTTACAGTTATTACTATAGTAAGTACATGTAGTAACGTGTAACTACGTCACCTTAAAATAGTGTTACCGCACGTTCTTAATAGTTTGCCTGTGTAAATCAGTGATCTCCCCCACTGTAGTTTCATCACTGTACACAGCAAGTCATTACAAAAGAGTCCTGAACTCTGTGCAAGTAAATCAAGTCTTTGTGGACGATTGAGTAAGTGAGACCTCCTAAAGCCAACTGTTGTTGGGCAACAGTTCCAAAGCGAGAACTTCTTGCCTTGCTTGACCAAGCTTACAAAACTGGAGATTAATAGCAATAGATCAATGTCGCATTGATTTTTTATATGCGAGGGAAAGGAGAAGAGAGATTTCGAGCCAGCTGCCCACTTACCAACTCAAAACGCTTGGATAACGGAGGGGAGATGTCAACACGGTCACCTGTTGTTGGTGAAATCATGCTGTCACACTCGCCGTTTAGAGATGATTGATTAAATGAGTGCCTCCGACATTTCACATAGACCTTACTTTGGCAGCTGATCAATATGATTCTTCCAAAATAAGAACTGGAGCGCAATGCAAAAATGTAAGAGAGCACCATGGACGGCACTCTTTCTGGACTGTTTGCAATTATCATTTTCTGCGGCAAAAAGTAAAAACAGGATGTAGCTAGAAGTTCAGACACTATTTTGGCAGTCTCATTCTTGTCTCTGCAAGAATCCGGCAAACAAGAAACAAACTTGATTTGGTGGGACTGTTAGCGTTTGCTCACTGATAGACACTAAGAATGTGTGCACATAATTAACTAGTTGAGTAATTGTTCTGCACCACCTTGTAGACTTGTAAAAACAATATAAACTGATTTTCCTTTGCACAACTGTCTGCTGTAAGCACCAAAATAAACATTCCCATTGAGTTCACTTAGCCTGTCACCATTGCAACTGCACACATTAGGTGGCACTGTGGATACGTGATGTTAAAGTCAGGATAATGACGTGTGTTTTCAGACACATCCAAATGCAGTGTTGGGGAAAGTTACTTTTATAAAAGTACTACATTACAATATTGCGTTACTCCCTATAAAAGTAACTAATTGCATTACTTAAGTGCTTTGTATGGAAAGTAGTGTGTTACGTTACTTTTGCTTTTTCTCACCTAGGCTTACTTGTTTGTTTTTTAATAACAAAAAAAGGCTCTTTCACACCAAAAGTGAAATGAATAAGCCTCAGGCTGAAGGAAATGCAAATTCACGCCTTTACAGTAGAGGGAGCAGTTCAAACAAGCCTTTCTGCTGTGCTGTTGGATTGCAGATGAAGAAAGTTCAGCACTCTTAGTTTAGCAATAAAAAAATTAAACACCCATGGGATGTTTATCTAAAGTAATTTTTTGCTTATTAGTATGGTTGAATTGGATCATATTTGTATTATTTAATTAATGCAGGTTTGCGTAATTTAACTGCTTTTGTTCATTTTGAGGAGGAACACTGAACCTGTTTTTGTTCAAGTGAGATGAGTAAATCGTAATTTTAATTTGTTGTTTTGTGAATATAACTTATACATTTTTCTCATATTTTGACTAGGTGATTGAATTTTATTTTTATTTTTTTTAACAAGTACCCTTATATATCTGTAATTTGAAAAGTACATTTTAAAGTAATGCGCTACTTTACTAGTTACTTTTAAAAAGTAATCTGTTGTCCCAACACTGTCCAATTCTGACAATATTTTTAATAGGATTCCACGAGAGCTGGAATTTTGATGGTGAAACATTTCCCCATGCTCATTTTGCAACAGGTTCAAGTTGGTGACGCAGATTTGCCATGCCGACAAACAGAAAACTTCAATAGAGAATGGGCCTTTTTTGTATGTGACATTTTGCTGAAATTTCACTAATATAAACGCACTTTTACTGGCATATTTGCTTCTTGTTAGAGTCATGCATCCCACTGGAAGAGAATCCGCTTTTATGAGAAACTCGATTGCATATGAGACCATTATCAGATTGCTTACCAGATTCGTGTATATTTTTTAGAAATAGATTTTTATATAACTTCTGGGTGTGTGATGGTTTTTTTGGTTTTTTTTTTTTTGCTAACAATTATTGCTCGTTTAACATTAGTAAAATAAAACAAAATCTGAATTGCATGTACATATATAGTTTGTAGTTTACCTGTAGTGTAGGCGAGCTACAGATTATCTGGACTTGCTGGTGTAATTATTCCCACTCACACCGTGTACCTGTGTCCCCTCACACCTTTGTGTCTGGTCTTGTGTCCTCTAGACCCTGCGTGTTGGTTTGTGTGTGTTGGGAGTTCATGTGTACGTGTTTCTTGAGCTGGAGATGTCAGTCGTGTCTATCTGCTCTACAGTTTCTTGTCGTTTTCTTTTCTGCAAATCCACACAGTTGTATTTGACATCCACGGACAGTAACAGCCGTCACAGCTGGCAGTTAAAGCCATCGGAGAGTTCCCGCTCGTTTTGGTAACAGCCTCAGCTATTCCAACAGGTACTCAAATGCCCCACTCCCACTTATTGGCCCACCTCCCTACCTACAAAAACAAGAAAACAACAGCGTGATTCCTCCCCAAACCACCACCACCATCCTGACCCAAGCAAGCTGTCCTCGCCCCTGGTGTTTCTGTTGTGTGCTTCCCTGGTCTTGTCATTTGTTGGGGCAGCATGTTCTCCCTCCACCAGTATTAACTCTTCATGTATCTGACATAGAATCCAATTTCCAAGAACACCGAGAGGGATAAATGCATTAACATGCAGACATTAAGGGAGAGAACCGCTTTTTAATTTAGTTTAGCTAATGATTAGCATCCTAAAGGTGCATTCACACTGACAGTTATTAAAACGTTGGAGGTCATTGAGCCGCAGTGCTAATATATTCAAGTCTAGTTTGAATGAATTTGAGCTCTGTCTTGTTTATAATGGTCCGTGGCAGTCATGTTGCTAGAAATCAGCACTGTTTAAAGTCGTCATGAAACCGAAGTTACAATAGTCTTTTCTTCCCTATTGTGACGTATATCTGAGTGAAACGGCTTCTTGAACAAGAAAAACTGGGCGGGACTTGATTTTGTCCGAGGGGAATTGATTGGATTGTTGTGGTTTGCTGCTGTGATGTCATGTGAGTGACAGGTTGTTCCGCCTTTACGCATGTAAACACGTCATCAGAGAAGAGAAGGGATCTTGCTGCAAAGGGAAGTTATTTTAATTAAAGATTACAAGGGCAATTAAAAAAAAAAAAAAAAAGAGTGCACGGATAAATCATTTAAATACTGCAATAATCCATAAATGAAATAATGTTCATGGTGACTTTAAAGTGACGAAAACATCCAAGAAATGGGCATGAAACGCTGCGGAAAAGGGAGTGGGAAGAAGGGATACAACAATCAATAAACGCAGAGCTACAACACTCTCATTATACAGAGTAATGAATATTCAAATGTGAATGGAGAAAAAAAATCAAGAGTTGGGACAATTTGATGTATTTTAAAACATTTAAACCTATGACCACAAACCGATAAGCATCTTATCATTAGAGATTAACGACTATCATGAACAAATCAAATAGGTTTTGGTAAATCTTAAGAAATATCAACAAACGAGCATTTTAACTTTCCAGAGATATTGGTCTTAATAACAAATGATCGACTTCTTATCGCTTTGTCATTGCAAAACTCTTTCAGTGTGAATGCCCGTTAAGTCTTGTGAACGAGAGTAACTTCCTGCAGCTCGATAGATTACAGTAGGCACGTCATGCTTTGATTAGTACATTTTATCTTTCAAAAGTAAATATTAAGTAGTCCTATCAGGGATGCATTAATACTGGAGTCATTTAGAAACAAGCTTATGTGACTGAAGGAATAAGTTATTATGCTCTAAACTATATTGAGAACTATATTAAGTTTGATCAAGCCACTTTGCAAATGTTATAGGCAGACAGAGTACATTCATGCCACAGTCAAAGAATAAAATTAGCTGAATGAAAGCAAAAGTGGCTTTACATTTAGTTTTGGGGCATTTTAGGACTAGAAGTAAAAAGGAATATGTCTCTTCATCTTGACTATTAAGTCACATTGGTTGTATGATTCATAGAGTAGTTTAACTGCTTGCTGTGTTTTGTTAGAGTGAAGAGTTGAAAGTTGCAATTTTTGCCATTTCATTTATAAAAAAGATATGCGAACTGCGCTCTTTACAAACCCAATAATATTGCATCTACAAGGCTGTCTAAATGATTCTAGGTGTGCTGTGGCAGTTTTATTATTATTTTTTATTAGTTGTATTATATGATAATTATGTTTTTTTATTTTATTATTATTATTAATGTTATTTAGCACTTTACAACTGTTTTTAACATCCACCATGGGTGATTCACTCAAAAGTGATCAGTGCTGCATACAATTGTGAACTTAACTAACACTGCCATTTTTTCCCCCCAGAGTTTGATATCCTTGTTGAGACAATTACAATCTAATCATAACTTTTGGAAAACATGAATTATATAGTACTGTGCAAAAGTCCTAGGCACGTTAGTATTTTCACCCCCCAAAAAATGGTTTTAAGCCAGTTATTTATTCCTTTTGCTGTATGATGGTGAGATGAGATCTCCGTGCGGAGCATACCGGCTGTTGTCAGACTCCTTTTGCATACAAAAATCTCACTGGATTATAACAATTAATGGCAAAAGGAATGTTTGGAAATGTAAATTGATATTTCTCACTGACACACTACAGCAAAAGTTACAAATAATTGTCTTAAAACAACAAAAAAAAACTTCTTCTTTTTTTTGCCATTTGTTATTAGCTGATGTTACAGACCTTTTATAGTTTGTTGGCATCAATATTGGTTATTTAATTCTGTGTGCTAATGAATTTCAGAGTGAAAATTCTCCACATTATAACGTTATAATGCCTAAATGCGCTCGTGGCATTTAAAATGACTGATTTAATTTTTTCTTTTGGTATTTGGCCACAGTTTTAATATCAGTGTCTGTTCTTTGTGTAAAAGCCAAATTAAGTCTAAAATCTAAATGATTTTGTATGGTGTTTTTTTTGTTTGTCTCCCTCCAGTACACATCCAGCATGAGGGCCAAGTACCTGGCAAACGCCCGACCCGACCCCAACAGCAGCTCCGCAGCAAACTAGAGGAACACTGTCTCCTTTCCCTTCAGTCTAAAGCTACCCCTCATCCACGTCCTGTTCCCACAGCCCAGACAAGTTTCACCCCAGGCCTACCCTTTTAGCCATGTTGATCTTTGATGCGTGCTCTCCTACCCAGCTGATAAAGGACGTCCTTGCATCATGTAAATACTGCTGTCAGAGGAATGTTCCAGAGGCCTCTTGTGCTGTTTCCAGTTGGCCGGGTCAGTTCAGGCAGCTAGTTCAGCGTGGCGGCAGCAAAAGGGTTACTCTCAGCCCTGAGTGTTTGTGTGTGTGTGTGTGTGTGTGTGTGAGAGAGCATCTGTGATGAGTATGAACTACATTACATACAGATACATTGAGTGACGTGTGTGTGCGTGTATGTGTGTGTTGATCCATGCTGCCCTTGCTCAATTGTGGTGCTCTTGCCAGAGGTTCAGAAAGGTCCAGAACTGAAAAACTGGACAGGGTTTAATGCCCATAACCCTACATTCCTGTGTGGCCTCTGTCCTCTGGTCATTTGAAGTAATGTGACCTTCTCCACTTTCAGGACCTACTGCCACGTCCAACTCTATACAGTTTACATCAGTGGCATCTACTGTAATATAACTGGACCAATCTAATCTTAATAGCGTGAGAAACTCTTGAGCATTGAGAATTTCCTTAGAACTCTTGTTTTGGGCTTGGATAGCAGTTTTTAAGTTGACAAAGTGGGATGATAGCTATTTTAATGAAATGGTGTGAGAAATAAGGCCAGAAACATGCTCTACGCTAGTACAGAAATGCAGTATAAATGTATTGTACATCCTGTGGCGCTAACCTTCATACTCAAGGGGGTGATAGAGAGCCAGATGGGTTTTTTTAATTATTATTTTATATTTAGGATGCTAGCTAAGTAAGGTGGATGTTTCTGAAATTGCCTCCTATACACTCATTCACTATTGACTGCTAATATAAGGAGTGAATAATGAGAGAGGGAATTTGGACACTTGGTGCACAGGAAGTGCTGAAGACGCCATATTCTGTCGAGACGCAGAAGTTCATTCGGCACAACGCTTGTTGTGCTTGTTCTCTAGTGGCTAGCTGTTGAGTGTACATCGGTTGCAGTGCATTATGGGATTGAATGAGTGCACTCAATGATGTTCAAATAGTGCACTATATAAGGCTATAGGGGGTGATTTCGAACACAGCCCAAGTTTCTCCTCAAAAAGTTGCTTTGTCATGACAGTAATGGATCTTAAAGATAAACATTTGAAATGAGATAAAAACTAATGCTCGCTTTAGCAAACTTTAGTTGCGTTACGAATTTCAGTATGACGCATGAAATCAAGCTTTTGCCTTTCTGTACTTGCGTATAGTATGTTTCAGGCCTAAATCTGTAGCATACGTTGGTTGTGGGAAGAATGGATCCTTTCATCTCATTTAAAGGCTTGAGTTTTCGTGTGAAATTAAGGTTTGTAGATGCTGTGTAGCTAATGAAATCCTTGTTGGGGTTTTTTCCTCAAAACACATGGACTGCATTAAACAAACTACTCGTTTAACTTGGCTATATCCACTGCCATTGCTGGAAAACCTGGAAAAACAGATCCAGACAAACCAGCCTAACAGAGGAAATTGAGAGATCTGGATTTTGACCAAACCCTGATGATTTGGACAACCTCAAACTGCATCGGCATCCGAATATTTTCAACTCCATTTAATTTGAATTCAGCATGAATCTAAAATTGCTTTGTCTGATGCTGGGACCTTATCTGAACATTATTTTGTCCTAATACTGTACAAACACGGAGACACTGGGACCAGCTCAAAGACGATTCATCATCGCTTATCAGTTCCGGGCAAGAGGCTGGGAGAGGAGTTCATTGTACTGTACACAATGTAAACTGAACATTTGAACCTTAATTTTGCTGATCGGTTGAGTCCTCAGGGAGGGGGGCACCAATATGGCAGGAAGTGAAGTCATCAGTGGCCTGTCTTGTTTTTTCTTCTTCTCAAAGAAACAGAAGAGAGACCGCAAGCCTCAGTAACTTTTGCTGTAATTCAGTGTGACTTTCAAAGCCCACAATTTCCTGGGCTTGTTGCTTCTGTACCACAAATTGCTTCTATTCCCAGAGTTGAGAGGAATCTTGCCATCCCTGAAGAAGACATAAAAGTGATGTGCTGTCAAACTGAATATTTTCTCCTTGATGAGAGCACAGACACACAAGGCCAACAGATGGCATCTGATCTGGGTGAACTCCCTTTTCTCCTCAGAAGACCTCTCTCTGGTGCTCTGGACCTCATATAAGGGTGCTTATGTTCTCATACCATTGGCATCATCTGTCTCACATTCACACACCTCAGGACCACATTCTTCCCTCATACTGCCAACGTCTGGATTTCAGGACACTTAGTCCATGTCATGTCCTTACCACATATTCAGGGCTCAACAATACGTTTTTATTAGTCCAACAAAATTACTGAAGATTTGTGTATAATTTTTTTTTTCATTAATATATATTTACATTTTAGATATTGTTCACATTAAATATGAAGTGTATGTATGTATGTGTGTGTGTGTATATATATATATATATATATATATATATATATATACACAGAATAATGACAGCTCTAAATTAATGATAAAGGTTCATAAGTGAAGTCTCATGCTGACCCCGGTCGAGTGGGTCATTCTTATTGTTGAGTCCTGATTTTCCATCTCACAGAAAGTCGTGTGGGCACTGCACGTATGCATGCTTTGAAAATGCGGATGGGGGACTTAAAACAAATGCCAATGTCACAAAGTTGCTCAGAGACTCCTGGACTTTTATGAAAACAAGCAAGAACTTCATGGTGAAGAGAATTAAAGGGATGTATCACAGCTATAAACAAACAGCTCATTATTTGACTGAGCATTTTATTTCTTTTTTTCTTTGTCTGCTTCTCAAAGCATGGTCATCCTATAAATGTGGAGTGGAGCCATGTTGTGTGCTACTGACGCTTGCATTGGTTTCTCGGTTGATGCTTTTTTTTTATCAATGACGAGGTCTGTACATCCTTGACTGTGCCAATAACCAACAGCTTTGTACCTTCTGTGAATCTAAATGTTTTTCATGTTTAAAGTGGACTTTTTCTCTCGTGAGCTCTGCGTGGCCTGAGCAACCAAATGAGACACCTGTGAACACGAGCCTGACGTTGTGGGAGTATCTTTATTTTTCTCTGTAAATGACCACGTTTGTGATGATGCGATCTCTGAATTTATGTCGCCATTTACTCCTTGGTAATGTCATACTGGAAAAATAATGTATTACAGTACATTAAGGAAATATTTGCAAGAAAATGGCCCATTAAGGACATTGAATTGTTATAGTACAAACAGATGATTTTTAATTATCATTTTATTTTTAGTCTGGTATATTTTTAGACATTTTAGCAAGCACAAAATATTTTGTCTCTTTCATGCAAATAAATGATTTTGGTCTTTTATCAAGATGTTTTTATATGACTTCACTGTAGGATGACTTTTTTCAGTTACTAAAATGTTGTAAATGTTTTATTGAGCTTGAACTTTAAGATTAAACCTAACATTAACTGATACATGTGTCTTATGTTTAACTATTAGCTTGTTCATCTCTCTGCTGCAGAACTTTCATTTGTAACTATGGTGAGTATATTTAGATTACAGGATTATAATGGTGTTGATTCTGATTAATCCAACATGAGAAGTGTGAAAGATCATTTAATTATTTAATAATTTTTAGCTAGTCATTAACATTTTTTTATACTGGATTTAGGCTAAATCACACCACATAAGCTGCACCCTTTAAAATGGCAAACTGTGGCCATGAACATCTTCTGTATCACTACAGCAAAGACTGTACAGAGATAAAGATATCAAATAAAATAAATATATATATAGATATATTTTTAAATATAGACTAAAGCAGCTTTTAGACATTTTTTTAGTTGTTCACATGAGCTTCAGCGTAATTGTTTTGTCTTTTATTCAGATATTGTATAACTTATTTGCTATATGAAATATAAGACCTGAGAGAGTGATAGGATGAGAATTATTTTATTTTTACAGAAAACTGTTTTTTTTTTATATAGCCTACTGATGAGTACAAAAGAATCCATGTAGGCTACTGCAGCATCATCTCCAAAGCTTTAACACTGATTGATATTGTCTTCATGAAAGCGGTTCTGAAGTTTTGAATGTATTTAGCCTATAATGAGTGTACGTTCTCCATTCATCTTTTATACTCAATCACTCCCCCATGGCTTGTGCATAAGCGCACCGTTGACTTCGTTCTATCTAGCCTATAAACCTAAACACAGGAGGGCAGCATTGTGTCATTCAAAAGAAAGTAGGCTACATTACTATGGACAAGTTCTGAAAGGTAGGCTATACCAGCTTACAACTTGCTATATAGCCGAGTACCACCTAATATATAAAAAAAAAAAAACAGTAAGTGAAACAGTTTATTTTTAACGTTTCGAACGCTATTTGTTCTACATTGTTGTCACATGGCATCACGTAGCATGTTTACTTTCACCGTTTCCGGTGAGTTGTCTAGTAATTTAAAACTTTTAATCAAACGTTGTGTAATAATAATAATAATAATAATAGCTTTTGTCCGTTTCATTAAGTAGGCAAATGAGTCAAGAAAGATGGTAAAAATTGCAACAGATTCATCAAATTCACTGGAAATGGACGGTCGAGAGCATTGCATCGTGGCATTTCTCGACATAAAAGGTCTAATATTTACTGCTCATATTATATCATGTAGTTGGTCTATTCTATAGGTAATTGTTTACATAGGCTACTGAAAATCTGTAGACTTAGGCCTACTATATAACACTGAAGACTAAAAGTAGGCCTAAGAGGTTTTGAATTTCACTACATTAATGCATTTAATAATTTCTGTATTTCATATAGGCCTACATACACAAAGATATATTAGCTACTGTTAAAAGTTATTTTATTTTTTACCAAATTTTTCATGTGCCTTTAGTGTTTGATCTGTTAAGACTCACTGTAACATCTAACCAACATTTCCTACAACTTCTATTTATTTCTCTGAATGTGCGAATGTTTGGAGCTCCGTGTGTTAGGCCTACGTTTTAAAATGTTGCCTAAAGATTTTTCAGTCAAGTCAAACGCATCGAATGCTGTCTGGGGGCTGACAGGAAAACAGAAATCCCAGTGTTGTGTTTATGACCTCAGTCATGGGGGTCAGTGTCACAAACAGGACAGACACCCACCATAGTAGCTTTCCTGTCAGCCGCCAGGCAGCTGCCGCCTCACTGGGCCTGTGTGTGCGTGAAGGGGAAGAGGGTGGACTTCTGGGAAAGCACATAATAAAGGGATCTCTACAGAGCACGCCCTGCTTGTCTCCTTCCATTGTCAATAAAAATGTAAAGCGTATATTTTTTTTGAGAGCCAGACAAGTCACAAACTCAAAATGTGAACAGGCATCAAAGAAACAAATTACCAATCCACACAAATGAAACGCTTGCGTATGTGTTACAGGACCCCTTTTCCCTCTAAAACAAAATGGCACAGGTTTATTCCGTAACTGGGATCGCAAATGGAATTCTGCACAGCCTAATTGGAAATTGAGTTAGGCCCCTATTGTTGAGCCTCAGGAATGCATTGCGAATGCAGTGGAGTGGTTAAGTGAATGGAAATGAGGGTGATGCCATGCAGGCTCCTGTGAAACACCCCTCCATAGCAGATTTGCTTTTATTAGACACAGGGCTTAATGCCAGCACATTTACTGTGGCTTCCTCTCACTTCACGCTTGGACCTTTTCTGTTGATGTGACCTTTTATTTGTGGACATATCAATGTGCCTGATCATAGGTGATATATCTTCAGGGGTTTT